TCTTCCACCTCTTGGTTACACCCCTGCACAACAGTACAGAAGCTGTCAAAGGCTCTGAACACACCAGATTTTGAGTAAAGCACCATGACGTGGCACTCAGCTCTACTTTTACTCCATTTCTAAGGGCAGCTGCTTTTCTGTTTTTCTTTGCGCATCTGTGGACAACAAAATCTTTTCTCTCTCACAAGAATGTCTTCATTAAGTCAGTTTCTGCCTTCAGCTTATTCTTGTGCATACTATAATCTGTGTATATGCACAAGAAAGGCTTGAGAAGCAGACTGAAAAAACAGGAAGCTGGAATAAACAATGAGGCAGGAACTGTGGGAAACTTAAGCATCTTTTCTTGCCCTTATTGTGCTGCCTTCCTTTTCATTTTTGTTTACTGCTGAATTTAGGATTCCTCCTACATTTGTATGAAACATGATTTCAATGATCTTTGTTTTGTGGCCTCTTTCTGAAGGAATGTGACATAGCACATCTAACACAGTGACCAGGCACAAAGTCAAACAATTCTGAGTTCAACTACTATCCTGAACACTTGGTTTCATATCAGATTTGCCAAATTTAGATATATATATATATATATATTTTACAATTAATGTTGTTCACTGAGTAATAAAAAGGTCCTAAATACCCACCAATTCAGCAGCTCCTACTCTCTACACTGAATATTCCATCTCCCTTTGCACAGGTGGTAGAACACAGGGAGAAATTGCATTTTAATATACAAAACACCCAGTAGTCCATGCATCAAACAGCATCTCTGTCCCATTCATAATGTCCTTCATTCATTCATCAGTCATTTTTAAAGGAGTGATATCCTTTTAAAAAAGAAGTTATAAAACACTAACATTTGCTGGCTGACACTGAATTTACTTCATGAAACAACAAAAATTTGAGTGACAGGAAAGAGAGGAGTTAAACGTAGATAGAGAGCAGAAGTTTCAGCCCAAATCAGCAAAATCCCTTTTTAGCACCTTGAAAAATACCTATTTAAGATGATCAATTTTTTTAATCAAGATAATTACCCTCACACATCTTTTCCTATCCTTAAGTGTTTAACAAGAAACATCTTAGGCTCTCCTTAGCTCTACTACTTCTAAAGCTTCTAACTGTAAGCAAAGAATCAGATTATGTTGTGAATTGCAACCCTTTCACCTCATGTGAAAGCTTTCCTGATGGCATTGCAGAAAGACTTTTTCCTACCTTTAATTTTCCATGCTTTGAAAGATTAGGAAGAAAAAGCATATACTACTCTCAAGATTTCATTGGAGACCACCTGGCCTTTGAGTCTGGCTGCACCAGGGGAGGTTTAGGTTGGATATTAGGGAAAACATCTTCACTGCAGGGGTGGTCAGTTCTACTACACACCATGGCATTGCAGCCCACAAGAGCAGTATCTCAGCCCAGTTCTCCATCCTTTCTGAAAAATACATCCTTTAGGTCACAGAGATAAGCACTGAAAATGCACAAGAAAAAAGCCACAGTCAGTTCTATTCCTAAACTCAACTTCCTCAGCACAGCCAACACTGCCTGGATGTCAGGGCAAAGTCAGTGAAGGTTTAATTTAAGTCATCTTTAAAGGTTTGGTTTTTTTTTTTGAAGATACATACATCTAAATCTGCTCTTGAACCCAAAGGGCTGTGAATTTCAAGGCTGGATTTCTACAGGTACCATTTCCCATATTGCCATAATTACCTTGCAAACCAGCTTTCACTTAGGAAAAAATGTCACCCTAAGCACACATACAGCAAAGACAATCTTGGAAACACAACCTAGGGGCAAATTCAGTCTTAAGTGAAGAGGCTGCAAACAACCTGAAAGTAGAGCAAACAGCCCCACTCACTTCTCTGAGGAGAGCCATGCAATGGAGTAACTTGTTCAGGATTTAAGGTTCTGGTAAAGCCAAATATTTTGGTTTCATTTGCCGTTCCTGCTCTGCCAGGGCCTGCCTGCAGTTCTCACATTCCTCAGTCTCCCCCTAGTGAGGATTGTGCTGGGATAGGTGTGAGAAACAAGAACTGGACTCCAACTTGTGATCAGGGAGTCTGCAGAGTCAAAATAATGGATCAAAGAACAGCCCAGCAGCTGGATCTGCTGCTAAAATGACACTAAAGAGAATCTTGTAAGTTTATATATTTTCAGCACCAAAATAGAAAGAAAGATGGGTTTTTATTTATGTCCACCTAAATATTTGTTTTATGGATGGAATAAGAGTTTATGAAGACTGACACATTGATTTAGACCACTATTATTAGCACTGCCTTTTATTTATCTATAATTCACTAAAGAGACTCCATTTCACTATTTATCTTTCTTGGTCCAAAGGTGATACTGAATCTTCAAATAAAACAATTTTCCTATACAAATGGACACTTACATTCTCTGCTGGTTCATAGGTTAACAGCAGGATCCACCTGTGAAATCTGGGTGGGCAATTACTATTGTATTTTCACAACCTATTGTTATTTTTCTTTCTGCTCAGCACAGAACAGACACAAGTAAGAATAGTTACTATGCAAGAGCAAAACCTGAGAGAAAGAAGAGATCCAACAAGAAATGGAGGCCACTATCTGACATTTTAAAAGGGCAAATCGAAAGCAATCAACACCCAACAAAACGCTCAGTGTAGGATGAGGTGATAGCTTAGGATATACTTAGGGTGGTGTAATGAGGCTAACAAGTGCTGTGTGTTTTAATGTAAATTAACACAAGATAATCTCTTCACATATTTAAGTGATGCACTTCAAGTTAATTAATACATATTTAATAGAAGTCTTCTTGAACAGCTGTTATTTACTTCTGGAGTTTCTACACATTAGCACTGGCTGCTTTGTTCTGCTCTGAAGTTGTTCATGCTCCAAAGTACTTTAACAACTTGGGCTGTATAAAAATTGAACAGTCTTCCCAAAAGAAGTCAGCCTTTCTGATAACTTAATATTTTCACGTTAAATATTCAAACACTTGCTGAACAAAAGGTCAAACTCTACTTACAGCATCTGTGTGAAACAGGCAAGCAGATGCTTAATGCTGCTAGACAAATACTTTTGGCACAAAGAATGATATAGACCTGGTGATCAGTCACATTTTCAGGCTTGAAAATCAGCTCTCCTTTACTTCTGTTCCTTAAATTCTGCACTTACCCTTCATACGTAACAATACAGACCCAAATTATGACCTGTTCCTTCCACAAGTGCTGGTGTTCCTCACACAGTGTGTTACATGAAATCCTGGCAGTGAAAGTGCTGTCTACAGTATTCACTGCATTATTCTGAGTATCACACCAGCTCATTGAGGCTTCTGTTTCAAACAACTACTGAGTATAACTTGTGTCTTAAACAGCTACTGAGTATAACATCACTGCCTTTGGACCTTGCATACAGCACTGAGGAAGTTCTCACTTACCCCCTCCTTTTATTCAGATGAAAACCCATTTGAGTTTCAGACACTTCTGAGTTTTTAGGATGCAAATAGAAATCAATTCAAGAAACACATTGGCAAACATGAAATTCTTATACTCACAGTGGTGAATGTGACTTTTGACAACAGGCACCAGTTTATTTGAAAAAAACTATCACCACTGAACAATCCTTATCAGCATACCTGTTGTAGTTGTCAGCTGACTGAAGATTTTTACCCTTATGGCCCTAGAGCACCAGTGCTCATTGCTTGCATGTCAGCCTTTAAAGCTCACAGGTTTACTGAAAATAGCTTCCAAAGTGCATACCTGTTGGGACAACCTTCACTGCATCTCCTGTCCAATGCTGTATGGAAACATACACAAAACAGTCCTAAATGCACAAAGATCAAACAGATGTACTGATTTAAGCAGATTGATATTACTAGTATCCAAGTGAATTCATTTTAATTTAATATGGCATTTTTCACAATACAGAGGACATAAAATAACATTCATTACTCAGACTAGGAATTGTAAGACTAAACCAGATCATTGCTTTACCTGGGAAAGATGCTGTGGCTGTGTGGAATAAAAAATCAAAAAGCATCTTCATGATCCTTAACTGCCTCTACCAAGAGCCTGGTGAGCTGCAGAAGCAAGGACTGAGGGAGATAACCTCAATTCTCCCTTCCCCACCCCCTGAGTGTGGCTGGTACAAGCTGGGTTAGGGTCCAGCTAGAACCCTGAGCCCTGTAAGGCCACAGGGATGGGGTTGGGACACAACTGTTGGTTTGAGGGAAGCACCATCACACAGGTTTAAAGTGCCTGTGTAAATGTGAACTTTGACAAAGCAGTGCCAGCCACAACAACCAGGCACCTGAAAAGATTTCTGTGCATTGAAGCTGTGTCACTGCATTTAGGAGAAAAAGGAAGAAAAGCCATGGTTGCCACAGGACCTAAAGAATATCTTGTCCAGCAGGGCAACACAGCAAAGAAATTCCATTGCTTTTGGTGGGAGTCATGTGGGAAACAGACCAGTCCAGAAAAAAGAAACCTGAGAAGACAGTCTCATACTGATGTTCTGGAATCACCATTATGTTAACAAAACTAAGTACCTTGAAAATCTTCTTGTCTTTGGAAGGAGGATGTATCTTGTTCAAAGGAGCATGGGTGCTCTGCCAGCTGCCACAAAACCCATGTTTGTATGTTTGATTTGATATCCACAATTTCACTTTCATTGGCATCAGCACAAGCCTGATGTGTACACGTCAAGGAAAAACAGAGATCCCAGATGACAAATTGAGCTCCCAGTCCCAAGAATGAAAATAAATGCTCACATTTTGTGCAGCCATGACATAACAGGTATTCTTTGGGTTCTTTTAAGATTTCTTAGAGCTAAAGGATCAAATTCAAAGGGATTCTCTTACAACATACACAGTGAGACTGTAATATTTTTCCTCTACATTTTACATGAAAAAGAAAGATCTGTGTTTACCTGTGGCTTTGGTAGAAAGGTTTCTATTGTAATTATACCTTGTGTGTTCCAAGAAAGTTTTTTACATCACTATTACTAGTCTAGAGAGGTACAAAGCTGCAGGTGTTTGCTGAAAAATAATAAACCTTTATTAAAATTTCCAGTTTTTGCAAAAGCATTTTGACTACATTCCAAATCTATTTAAACGTAATTAAATATTTACATTTATTCTCTAATAAGTATTGTAAGTAAATCAATACCCCAATTATCTTAAATTTTTGTGTGGTATTACAAAAATGTAGCAATTGTATAAATGCACAATTCTAATGAAAAAATAATGATCTTGAACTTTAAAAGAGCCCTTAATTTAGAGAGATGAAAGTGCTGTACATTCTTTCCTTCATTATGTCTTATGGCCCCTGTGTGATGTAGGTGCTATTATCATCATTTTACAGATGGGGAAACTGAAAGGCTAATTAACTTGTCCAATGTACAACACTTTTAGCTGTAAACTTAGGGCATCCTATTGTACTTAAAGGCAAAGCAGAACTCAGCTCACCTGTGATGAACATTTTCTAAAAATTCTTAAACTCCATAAGCATTTACCTTACAGGAGAGAATATCTCACACAAGATTTCAGAGTTGGCTTTGCATTGATGGTGGGTTTGAGCACCACAGAAATGTGCTGCCTAGAAGCAAACATCAGAGCAGCAGGTTATTGTGCAGTATGTCACCAACTTCCCAGCTAGTTATGGAGATGATGTGCATTTTTATTTGGTATTATTTGCCATTCAGCCACGCATTTGTGCTTTAATTCTGTAGGACTCACCACACTGCATTTCTACAAACAAACACAAACAAACAGTGTTTGCTGACAAACTCATTCCCTCAGTTTACTTATGTGTTCCATGAATTTCTTGACTCGGTCAGGATCAACAGCATTTGCCCAATATCCTTCTTTCTTGAAATAGGAACCAATTATTAGAGCATCTGCATCCAAGTAATTCCTCACATTCTCCAGAGTCACTCCAGACCCAACCAGCACAGGAATCTTCACAGCACGCTTAACCTCTGAGGAGAAGAAAACCAAAATCAGGGTTAATTCCTGTCTTTGAAACTCTCTCCATAAAGACTCGAATTTGCCTAGTTTTTCAACAGAAAAACAAAGGTATCGGGAAATTTCTGATTGTGGTATTTATTACTTCTACAGCAGAATGAAACAGGTTCTCTAGAAAAAAACACCTCTAGCTCTAAAGAGAAAAAAAAAAAATCTTACTTTTTACATTCTGTTGTCTGGAATACTTCCTATATTTGCTTGTATGAAAGAGAGCAGGGATCATACAATTGCCACTGACAGCTCAGCTAGTTTTGCCAGAAAGCAAAAGCCAGAAAGAGAAGTGGTCTTTTATCAGTGTGAGGAATGACAATGGAATAAAAAAGCCTCTTATTTTTCCTATATACAGTGTTACTTCATCTTCTGATCTTTTACCTGGTTTCAAGAGGAGAAGCAGACAAAAACAAAGCTCAAAATGCAGTACTGGCTTTGGGAGGAGGAAAAAAAAGCCCAGTTCAAGAATTACTTAAGCAGCCTTCTCATCATTTTATATCAAACTGACCATCCAAAGAGTGACTCATAGGACTGAATGCTTCATCCCTTAGAGGAATGTTGTGAGCCATTATTTCTGACCTTTAAAAACATATAAATTGGCTTAATTAGTGATAAGCTGATGGCAAGGTAGTTATAGCTTGAGGTAACTTGGGAAAGCACACATGCAACAAATAAAAGTCTGCTTCAAAACACTGTTTAAATGAAGTTTCATCAGAAGCCTAACTTATTAATTATGCTTCAGGGAAGACTAATTATTTATCACCTTCCTACTTCACGGAAGAAAGGGGATCAATTAAAATGTTCTTGAATCTCTTTTTAGGTCACATGCTCTACCATTTTTCCATCTAGGAACAATAACTCCCTCTTAAAAAGATTTTAACACAAAAATAAAACCATTCAACACAGCCCTTCCTGAAAATATATAACAAATCAAATGGCTCATACATATATGATAAAACATATTTCTATGCATATTTGATATTCTTAGTCATTCTGCTTACAACAACAAAATAATTAATTTCTAGTTACTTATAGCATTATTACAAATATCCTGTTCTAAAAAACAGGTTATTTACTTTAAATTTTATTTTTATTTATATAATATCTATACGCTCTTATCTTATCTGCTTTACATCACTACCAGCACACAATTAAGGTGCATCTGACCACAGATTTGTGACAGTACCTGACTGAATCCCCAGAGGAACCAGGCTCCAAGTCAATATTTGTTCTTAAAAGTGCGTAAAGCACATTAGCAGGGAGTTGCTTCATAATTATTTCACATCAGCAGGAAAAACAAAGAGCCAAATAATTCAACAGAGCAAGTTCATATGGGTCTGAGACAACAGCTCAGCCCTGCTGGGCACAGGGAAAAACCCAGTGAAGCCTGAGACTCCAGAACAAGCCAAAGCTTCCAAAGTGGGAAGGTATCAAGTGCTGCTGTGATCTACACGTGGCACACAGACTGCACACACATCTCCTGGGCTGCAGATCCATCCAGAATGACAATGTGAAGAATGGCAAAGGCAGTGCTCAGTGTGCACTGAGATGTGTTACCTCATTAAGTATGCTACAGATGCTACTTTTAAGTCCTTTCCAAGCACATCAGGGCCTAAAGTTGATTAGTAGAAGGTGATTTGTCTATTGGCTGTGCTATACAAATTCTAACCTGTAAAAGAAAATAAAGCAACAGCAGTGAGATGTGCTTTTGTGTGGCAATGTTCAGTCACTGTCAAAATATCTCTAAACACAGAGCTCTGCTTCAAATCTCTGTTTTCCTGGCAATCTTTTTTTCTTTTTTTTTTTTTTTTTTTTGACACAGTGAGAAAAAGGAGACAATTTTGTGATGTTACAGTAACAAGATGCTGAAGTTTACACAGATTTCTCTGTTCCAGTGGACTGTAACTAGAGGGCACTGTGCTCTTTCTTGTGGCAGCACAGCTGCACACAGGTCTTTAATAAAATCGTGCTTGGTTGCAAAGCACAATGAAAGCATTTAAACTGTGGTATGCACAAGTTTCATGAAATAAAGGCCAAGTGCTCCTAGCTTGAAAACAATGGCAAAGAGTGGTGTAAAAATAAGCACCACTGTGCCAAGAACTTGCTTGACTACTCTTCTCTAACAGCTTTCTCATTGCAGTGATCACTGTACCATACAAAACACTATGTTTATGGTAATGCTCCCCTCTTAACACATTTTAGGTTTTTAATTCAAAGGACTTGTTCTCTGTCATTAAATTTAGGGCTTGAACTGGAGATGTGAGTGATCAGTACTTTTTCTGTCTCTGAGGGTACCACACAGGCAGCAGTCTCTATTTTGGCCATCAAAAGATGAGAGGGGGTGAGCCAGTCTTGAGGCCCCTTTTATGAACAGTAATTAAGGAGGTGACAGTCACAGCCAGCTGTTGGGTTTCATTATGTACCTGTTTTCCACAGGTTACTCAGCTGAGACACTTTGTTTTGCTCAAAGAGATAACTGAGCAGTCATTATGCAAAGCTTTGGTCACTCAAAATACAAACTGAATGCAAAACAGGTAGTTCAGCAGTTATAGCCCAAGCAAAAACCTGATGGGTTCACACATCACACATCCAACCAAAGAATATTCCACAAGGCAGAAACTGGAACTTCTATAACCTCTTAGATGAAAAGATGGTTTATTAATGAATTCAAAATGCTCAGCTATAGTTCTTGCTCCTTAACAACATGAATTCTGATTTTTCAGACCTTATACTCCCTCAACCTCTGGTGCCCTGGGTGCCCAGGCAGCCCTGGAGCAGAGCCTGCCAGCCTCCAGAAGGCAGCAACACAAACTGCACACAAAACCTGACTGAACACACACCTCTGCCTTGACAGGGAAACACTTCCCACAGCCCATCACAAATCAATCAATTCCACAAAGACAAAACCACTTCTATATTACTGCACAACAAAGCTGAAAAAGAGACATGACAAAAATCTCATCTGTCTCTCAGCTTTGCTTTCAAGAGCTGCTTTGCAGTGTGATGAAAGGTGCCCAATTGTATCACTGTAATACAGCACTGCCAGGGCTGCATAAATTCCTGAAATGCAAAATCTCACTCACATCAACACCAACTTTGTAGACTGTAGATCTGATCCCTTTTAAGACTCTCCTGACATAGATATGCCTAATTTGTCATTTTTTATACTGTGGAATTTTTAAGTTCTTCTCTTACCTGTTTTAAGACATCTTTCTCATGAGAGGGCCTGCTAACATCCAAAATGCTGTGATCTAAGTACAATAAACCCATGATCTGCACACTCCTGCTTTCATAACACAAATCCAAACACAGAATTAATGTGTACTTCATTACAGCTGCCAACTCTGATTCATTTTGTTCTTTGGACCCAGAAAGAGAAAGAGACAGGGACTGACAAGTTTGTTCACATAAAAGAAAAGCAGAAGCTATGGTTCTGTCTGGTTGGGGTCCTGTGACAAAAATGCATCTGGGCCTACAGGTCAGGTTTTGCTCTCTGATGCTGTAAATCAATGGAGGTTGTACGTGCATACATGAAAGCAGAATTTAACCTAGGATTTTGCCTAAAGACATATCAAATATTTTTTAAGTGATTTGATCTCCATTAATAATGGTGGAGACATTAAGTACAAACAGGGATGGATCTCCAGATTAACAAAATTTTGCAGTCTCTAAAGCAGGCATAGATAGCTTCCAGTATCACCTGTTCCACATATCATTTCTGATTTGCTGTACCAAAAGACCCAGCTAATTCAAGAGGCTCAGTGTTCACACCAAGCCATCACTTTCTTTTGAAGATTGGTGACTGAGGCATAGCAATTTGTAATCTGGTTTGTTAGCAAAAAGTTTAATATGTATGAAATAAGAACCATTTTAACAAGTTCAACATTCATTTTAAATGCTCTTGAGCATGTGTGATATACATAAAGCCCTGAAAACACTGAATGATTTTATGTTGTTTCAAAAGATACAAAAATACAACACAAAAGATACAAATACAACCTGTTGAGGTCCAGGTTATCTCTGACAGGTAAAGTAGGTTTTTCATGCTGATCTCCTAACTTAAGTTGAATACAACTTCCAGTGCACTGGAACTTCAAAACACGCCAAGTTACAACGTGTTGGGTAAAGCAAAACCTAAAAAAATACACATTCTATTTTATGTAGTGAGACATTCAAATTCAAGCCATTGATCTAAATTAAAACTAGTGATGAAAACTAAAGGTCCCCATGATAGAACTTTAATTCTAGCATGGGAGCAATACTGTTTCATGAACACAGCCCAAACTGATGCTAATATAAAAATATCAAGAATCAGAGCACTTCTGCAAAGGTCAGAACTCATAGGTCAAATGAGTCTCCCCTGACAAAAGTCCACACTATTTAAAAATTATTTTGATGTTAATATCTTCCTGTCTACCAATGAATTTGTATTCTTTCTGAAAATCTTCCAAGCAGTACTTTCCCTGGTATTAATATTTGGAATGCTGCCTTATCAAAATGTCCCTTTTCTTGCAGGAATTTCATTTCCATTGTGAAAGATAAAAACACTGAACTCCTCAATGGAAAGATTTAAGGTTAGCTAGTTAGTTTAATATGGCTAGTTCTAGTATAGCTAGTTTTCTAGGGTCTTCTTCTTATATTAGGGCTTCTTACAAATGAAACAGTATTTTCTTTCAGCCTCAGCATCACTCAGTGTTATAAAAGCTTGGAATAATTGTCATTTTTGCCCTGCCAAACTGTTGTATAGAAACATACCACAGCTCATCTGAGTAACACTCAAATATGATCATTCTGGTCAAATCAAACCCCATAGTGTGGTATCACATAACCTCTGAGCAGAGAGAGACACAGCTCTCCCAGGATTTTCCTGGGAAGCTGTGAGAAAGCTCAGAGAAAGAATTAAAACAATTATTATCTCAATCTCTGCACCTGGCAGGCAATCTCTGTTTGTCAAAGATGTTTACAAGAAGGAATTGTCCTTTCTTGACCAATAGGTGAGAGAAGATTCCTAAAGGTCAATCTTAGGTCCACCATTGTTTCTATAAGAACTGTGGATTTTGAATAATAAAGTGCCTTTTCATGCCTTCAGATGATGGAGTCTCAGTGTCACCTCTGACTGTCCTGATGCCCCTTCGGTGATACCACAGTGAGAGTTCCTTATCTCCAGCATCCTCCCTCCCTGCTGCCCAGCTTGGCGTCCCAGCCCACCTGGCAGCTGCCCAGGCAGGTGCCCTGGCTCACCTGGCAGCTGCCCCCTCCCTGTTGACCAGCTTGGTGTCCCAGCCCACCTGGCAGCTGGCTCCTCCCTGCTGCCCTGGGGCTCACCTGGCTCCTGCCCCGTCCCTGCTGGCCAGGCTGGTGCCCCAGCTCACCTTGCAGCTGCTGGGGGTCCGTGGGGTGCCCGGTGGCCGTGCCCGTGAGCACCACGCCGTCGGCCAGGAACAGCTGGGCAGCGCTCGCCGTCTGTGCCACGCTGACATCGGCCGTCAGGGCGTGAGCACTGCAGGGACACAGCCTGTCACACACCAGGGACCCACGCCCTGTGCCCCCACCCCTGCTGCCAGAACCCCCAGAGATTGCTTTAGCAGTGTCCAGCTTCACACTGGCAGGTGACACTGCCAGCAGGTGACACTGCCACCCGAGCGTGAGTGAAAAACCAACCTTTTCCTTCATTGATCGGTGATTGCTCCGGGTCTCCTGGCTCTAGAGAGTGAGTGCTAAGTGTGAACCACCAAGTGTCAATTGAGACAGCTGCTTACATGTCAAGCACCTGTATTTCAGAAGTGTTGAGCACACAGAGCTCTCTGACTTCAAGTGGGAGTTGTGGATGTGCCCTCATTCATAAAACAGATCTGTTGCCTAGGGCAGAATCAACAACCTCCACACGTCCAATAACAGAAAGTATAGTTAATACCTATGATATAGCCACAGGAATCATCTTACACAGCAATTACAAACATCAATTACACCTGCATCCCAGCTGTTCAACAGCAGGCTTTGATGTATGGGTGACACACTTTGTCTGAAACCTATTGCAGTAGTAACTATTAATTTATGTGGTCCCAAACTTGGAAGGAATTCCAGCCATTGCTGGCTGAACACCCAACAACGTTGGATTTTCTGTATTTAAACAGAAAACTACGGCTATGGCAAACATGTTGCACTGCTGAGTGCTGATGGCACAAGAACAGTTTCTCCTCATTTAAAGAAAAGGAGCATAGCAGCTCTCAGTGGAAGCTGCACTTTTCTACCTTAAAAAGTTTAACCAAGAAGTCCTTCAGCATTTCCTTCTGAGTTTATGTTTCTGCCTGAAACAAAAACTTCTCTGCCTTTCTTAAATGCCAACTCTTTGAAAAATGGGAAGTAAAATCCAAATATCAATTCCTCAATTGTCAAGACTAAAAATAAAAATGACACGATGCAGTTTCATTTACAGAAAGTCTAATGCAGTGTATTTGCATTTATATACATACGTAAAAAATAATCAGAAAGAAACTGCTCTGAAAGGACTTGATAAGCTTCATCTGACCACTACACTGCATTGTTTCCTTTCTCTTTTGAAATTTATTACCTGCTTATTACATATCTAAGACCTTCCAAACTTGATTATTCTCATGATTGCTCACATACTACACACAAACATTTTAATTAGGTTATTTAGCATGTATAATACATAGCACTTGAGCAGTTCTTCTGGGGGAAAAAAAAAACAAATGCAAAGAGTGACATCTAAATAGCTGAAAGTACCATGTGACAGGTAAGATAAAGTATAAGCAGAAAAGAAACTGGATTTATCTGTCATAAGTTCCTTCTGTTTGATAATCATAGAACATAACCCTTACACAGACAGCACTGATTTAAGTAGCAGGAATCAGTATTATTGGCAGGAAGGAGAAGAAAGAGAAGAGCTTTTTAAAATGCCAAACTATGATCACTTGAATGCTTTTATATGGCAACTGCCTTCATAACTGAAAAATAACCTTGGATACCTAACTTTCAGAAACAAAACTTCTTTAAACATAATAGACATTTACACATGCATACAAAGTCTCAATACCAGATGCAAGGCTTTCATAGCTGGCATACTGAAAACCTGAAGGTTAAACAACTACAAACATCACAGATAAAGCAACTTACAGCTGCAAATTTATTTTTAAATGTATCCCCTTACAGCACTGCAAGTCTGTGCTTAAATAATAAACTTCTCCCTATATAATTAACTTTCCTGGAAGAAAATTGACATTAAGAAAAACCCAGAAAATGGAGAAAAATAGAAGATCATTATTGCATTCATATTTACATAAAATTTTGCTCGTATTTACCTATGTTTCTTTTTAATATCAGCAAAAATCTGAATGTTGTCTGCTCCAATGTGTTTTCTGTATCGTAGCAGGTCACCTGCACAGGCATTTATAATCCCTTCATCAGCCACATGAGAAAACACAAACCCTTCAGCCCGGATAAAATCAAGACCTGAAAACAGTCAAAAGCAACATTTTAGCCTGAAACTGAGAACTGGAAAAGAAAAACACTAAAAACAAATGAAAATCCACCTTACTGCCCTTCCTATTTGATCCCAACACAAATTGTTTCATGTGCTCTAGGACTAACCCACCTCACTTTCCCACATATTTTCCATTCTTTATTTTTGCCCCTATTCTCTCTGACTTCTTCCCATCTCACTGCTTTCAGCTCCCATCTCTCCCACTGACCCCACCAGTTTTCCCCCAGCCCCTGGTCCCCTTCTGTCCCCTCAGTGGCTCAGAAAAGGCAGCTGCACACCCTGCCCTGCCTGCTGCCATGATTTGCCATGCAGAGGAGTAGGTGGGTCAAAACACAGCTCTATTATTCTAATGACACGTTTTCTCTCCAAAAAGGGTCACTAACTTGCATCTCTTCCCCCTTTCCAGGCTACAGACACAGAGGAATAGCACTGACATCTTTCTTTAGGAAATTAGGCAAGAAAACACAGCCTGAAGCATGTTATATGCAGCCCATGTGACTCCATCTGAACATAGCATGTGTTTCCTACACATCACCACATCAACAAATTGCTTCTAGAGCTGTGCCAAAGGCTTAGGAAGAGTCAAACATTTGCCATTCTACTCCAGCCATCGATTCTGCCATGCCTTAGTAGCATTTGTTCCACCATATTCATTAAGTTTTGTCACTAGGAAGGTTTTGTGGGATGGATACTGAAGAGGAAGATTATGAATTGTATTTCATGTGGGCCAGCCATTGACATTCAGGGCTCCCCTCCACAGCCTTGAAATATCTCTGTTGTAAGACTAAAGCCTTGGACCACAGAGCAATAAGCCCACAGCAGTGAGGCACAAGATTTAATTCTGACTCCCTTATTGCAATCCCCACTTCTCTCCTGGCTTTTATAGCCTTGAACTGTCACTTAAAACCTGCCTCTTTTCCACATTTTTGTAAAAGCTCTGCACTTATCTTGTGCAGTTTTGCTGCTCTTCCAGTTTGCTTTGGAGGTGTCTTCCAAGCCCTTCTGAAGCTCTGCTACTGCTCCAGCTTTGGAGTCAGATGCACAGTTAATTAGAGCTGACATCATTCAAAGGAAAGCAATGCATGTGGAAACAGTCATCAAGAATGCAATCCTACCCACAACTGATTAGGCAACAGAGGCATTACCTTAGCACATTCCAACTATAAACATAGCTGATCTTGAAAATTTATTTACCAAATGACAAGGTGTCTGTTTATTTTAAAATTCCAGTTTCATTCCAAAAGCCCTGAAGTTGCAGAAACAGAAGCTTACGCCTGCTAGAGAAGAGCCTGCATTGCTTAGCAACACAGACTCCAGCTCACAAGAAACATCACAGATGGATGCCAAATCAAATGCAAGCTGTCCTGTGCCTTGAGATTAGTGCAAAGCACAGAGTATTCCCAGGATCCAAGACAAGAGTGTGCCACAAGTACCACTGCAGGTGCTTGTAGACACTGGGTGATAAACACAGTGCAAATAGCTAAACTGAGGTTTCTACATCTAGGAACAAAAGCCACAGCTTCATTACATCACCCAAGCTTACAGCACAATTCAGAGTTATATAAGAATAATTACTTCTCTAATCATAAAACTGTGGGTGAGCCTAGAGACATGACACTTTCACAGCAATCAAGGTTAAACTTGGGACAGGAGCTATTCATTGAGTAATTTCATTTATTGAAGCCACCTTGTTTGTTGATGTTTGGTTTGTGTTTCCTTAGTACAGTAATATAAGACTTTCTGCTAAACATTGGATTGTACTTAGTTTAATAAGGCTGCACTCTCAGTCTGGGTTTTTGGAGGCCATGAAAATACAATTTTTAACCAAGTGTAATAGGTGCAGGCACCATATCATTACCCTTCTGTTTTATGAAGCCATAATCAGATTCTGCTAATGAATTCATTTTTATGCACATAAAATTGTGAGAATGATACTACTGCTTACTTTCTCATTTGGCAAGTTGAAAAGTAATAGCCATTGAATAGTTAACAGGCAGTCCCATTTCTGACTTATATGGGAACATCACATTTTGTAGTTTCACTGGAAAACAAGAATAGGGAATATCCAATAAAAACTAATAAACAGAACTCGTTGACTTTGTCTGCTGTTGACACTGGAAGCACAGTGTGTCTGTGCTACAAAACTACTTCTCAGGACACTGTCTTGCAGCAGCTCCTGCTGTGCTCAGGATGGGCTGCAGGCACAGGAGCAGGGGCTCCAGCAGCTCTCCCAGCAGGATCCACAGCATTCCCTACCTTTCACAGCACCTCTGGGTGCTCCCTGCTGCAGTTCTCAGCTGAGCTGCCTCCCCTCACCACTGCATTAATATGGTGGCACTTAAAAAGGGCAGCAAAAACCATAGCACACAGCTCTGCCTGATTCTTCTTACCCTAAACAGTGTCGTGGATGACAGCAAGTGAATTCCCACTCTGCTGGTGCAGGAGGGAAAGGAATGGGCTCAGACAGCAAAGCTGTGTTTGCAAAAGACATAGAGAGATCTGGGATATCTCCTCATTTATCAGCTATCAACTGTGTCATCATCATTGATGAAGGCTGATACAGAACTGGAATTTCAATCATTGATTCTTAAAGGGAAAAGGGCAGCTTCAGGTACAGAGGGCAATTGGACCAGATGACTGTTTAAAGTTCCTTCCAACTGAACCACTGTTTTCTAAATTTATGAGATAAGACAAAAATTGAGCCCTGATTCATGGTGAGTGCCCCAGGCTCACCCAGGCACAGGACCCTCCAGGCCTTGCTCAAGCTAACTGAGCTCCTAGTGACACTGCAGACCTGTGGATTTCCCTCCACCCTTTACCAAATAAAATCATTACCCTCTCCTAGAGACCAGTTATGAATTCCCTGTGTGGTTCTCTTAAGAACAGTTATTCCTACAAAAGACAGGGATCTCCACAGGGAAAATGAAATTACTGTATAGAAGGCAGAAGATGCTACATATGGTTTTTAGCTAGAACACCTTCAACAAATTATTTTTGTAGTGAGAGCACACAGGATTTGCTTTGTTAATAGCTACCTATCAAAATTGTATTGACATTAAAGCCACCACTAAGTTGCTACAGAAAAGCTGTTTAAAGATTTGCTACCTACAAGATAGCACCCATTTTACTATGGTTTTGCTTAAAGTGATTTTCTTTTTGCTTCCCTGTTCAGTGAACTTGAGACAATAATTTTGAGAGAAGTGCAATGAAATGCATTAAACACAGGCCCTTCCTGGTTGGTGTTCTACAGTTACAGAGGAAATAGTGCAGAACAGGAGTGGAGCTGAGCAAAACCCAAGCCCTCCAGGAATTCTCCCCTTCATTAATAATTGCAAAGAAGAGAAATACATTGTTCCCATACCATATCTCTTATTTAGTGATGATTTTTTGCTCCTCAAAGGATTGCTTTTAAAAATAGGGTATGTGCTATTTTTTCAAATACCTATGTACCTCAAATGGCCCACATGCAGTAACCTCTAAAAACTAAAACTGGTTTCTGTTCCCATTTTTATTTGAGGTTCTCATATAGGTTCCAATGCAGCAATAAAAATTAGGTTTTCTCCATTTGTCAACTGGCTAGATACTTCGAAAATGGCAACATCTGATTTTAAAGCTCACAAAACAAATGCCAGTTCAAAAGACATCTATTAACAAGAATTTAAAGCTTTTAGAACATATTAGGCATAATTAAAACTGCCACTGCAGATGGGTTAGCCTGCATGGTTGTACCTGAAGTATGGCTTTCACTTAACACCAGCATCTTCTACCTGGTTCTGTGAAATTTGTACATGCAAAAATGTGCAGCCTTAGCATAATGACAGTCAATTTGGGCAAAAACATGCATTAACCCTCATTTTGTGAATTTAGGAAGTACAGGCTTTCCATATTAAGCCAGCCTACACCTTTACATCGGGGAGGGTTACAAATGAAAAACTAAAATTGCTTCAGCAAACAGTAAGAGAAGGAAGTTTAGTTAAGGCTAGGATTCATGCAATAAGGATAGATTAATTTATATTTAATTCCCCCAAAGGCAATTTAATTTTAAGTACTTTAGCTATCTATACTTCAATTCTTATCATTATATAAAATGTTTCATTCTACTCATTCATTAAAAAAGACAACGAAAACTTAGTTTTCATGGGCTACAGTAGCAGCAACAACATATAAATAGATGCTGAAACAGGATGCTTAACCCCCATGGGTTAAATTGATATATATATTATAAATATATAATATATATTATATATATATATAATATATATTGTATATAACTGAAATACATATATATATATATATAAAACATATGAATATATATAACATATAACTGAAATAAGTAAGAGTTACACCAAAGGGGGTTTTTAGATACCAACAGATTTAAACAAATGATTACATTTAGACAGTTTTTACCTAGAAAGCTGTGGTGGCAGCCTTCAGCAGCCTCCAACTGAAGCAGTGCCCAAGCACCACCACTTTAATCAAGCAGGCATCATTCTCAGGCATCTAACTGCTGCTGTTTCGGGGCACATTCAGCTTTCCATGGTATCTATGCCAGCTTGTGGAGAGTGAACGCCACAGCAACAGCAGCAATACCTGAGGAGCCCTTTGCATTACCTGCAGCCAGAGCAATGGCTATTGCCTGCTGGTTGGCAGCACAGAGCACCTGGACACCCAGAGGGACACGGGGACAGCTGTGTCTGACAGCAGCACCAAGCACAGCCATGGCTGCGGTGACCTCCGGGCCCGGGCTCACCGTGTATGGCACATCGTGCATGTTCTCCAGCATCAACCCATCCTGGGCAAAGAATGAGAAAAAAATATCACTGCACTGCACAAACATGGCCAGTTCACCACTATTTATTGTGCACTGAGACACACAAGTGTAGAGGCTTTCCTTCAGAGGGAAGATTAGTTACAGCAAGTTGTGCTGATGCATTTGATGCGCACAAGCACTTATAAAAGTGCTTTCATCAACAGCGTGGTATTTGCAGTGAAATCATGAAGAGAAATAAATGTGATTTTAATTATACATTCATCAATTTGGGTTCCTTTGATCCATCCTAAAATGTGAACTATAGGCAAATGAGTTAAATCTTATACCTCATTAAAAATAGTGTAAAGTCAAACTTGAATTATCCAAGGGGAATACAGGATATTGAGTATGTTCGGATAACAGAGAACTCTGAGATAATCAGGGCAATTTTCAATTCAATTAATGTCTGAAAATAAGTGTTACTTTGGATAAATAAAGGAATTTTTTGTTTGACTGTTATTGTGCCAAATGCCATAATATGAACTAGTGATATTTCCCCCATTCTGTAATCAGAACTACTGGAAAGAAGATATTGCTATTTATTTTCTATTATAACTCTCCATCCACATGGACATACTCCTAGCAAACAATAGACAACGATAAAACACTCTGCTGATACAATTTGTACATTACCTGATGCCACACACATTTCTAATCATTGCATAGGCTATACCAAAAAGTTTGCAACAACTGCAGATAATACATAATTTTGTTAAGGATTAATAACAAGAGTAAAAGTAGAGCATTGAAACATGTTCCATGCCTGCTATTTTGCAGTAGCAGTAAGAAGATGAAAAGAAAACCAGATATTTCTCACCAGCTTAATTCTAAAAATGCAAAAAGTTTAATAGACAAACTAATTGTATATATAGCAAATAAATTCTGCTCTCTCTGGAGTTTTATCACACATCTTAATCCTTTAAAATGAGAGCTTTACCTTTTACAGAGATAGTAACTGAACAAGAATAGAAGGAACGTTTTTTGGGAAAAAATACAATTAGAGATTAAACATAGCAGCTTGGTTCTTAATAACACAGAGAATTAGGAAGGGGAAACAAAAAAAAAGTTTCCTTTTAAATAATATTTTATATGTGACACTTCTCCAATCTTTGTTGTAGTGTGGAAGCCCTTCTGGCAGCAAAAGATAAGACAGGATATAAAATACTGTCAGCATTTAATGGCTGAATTACAGGCTATGGCACAGGCATCATAAATGAACACCCAACACAGAGGGTGGGGAAAAGTGAGAAGGAAATAATGCAGTGGAGCAACATGGTCAGTCCAAGCACAGAACCTGCAAACATTCAATGCACCAGGGCACAGCTGCCTTCTCCAAATCACTCACAGCTCAGTATTTAAATACACAAAAGATATGCTACCTAAAAAGCAATGGGATGTGACCTGTTAATGGAAAAGGTGACCTGATATGATGACACTCCACATCAGACCTTTGCACTGTGATGCCATTCACCAACATATTTAATTACATAATTCCAGCCCAGGAAAACCTGAATTAGGCAAAAGAGCAGCAGGTATGGCAACCAGTCAAAACATCTGCACTTGACTTTGTTTGTGTGTCCAGTTCAATATGGAACATCCACACTTCTGTACCTCTGATGGGAGGTAGCCATATGACCAAGATGACAACCTGTGCTAAGAAAACCACAAAAAAACCCACCATTTTTAGTCATTTTTTCTGGAATGAGGTTAGGATTGCTCCAACAAACCTGAAATGACCAAATGGTCTTGGTAGCTGAGGCACAGCTACTGAATCCCTTGTGGTACCAACAGAAAGAGAAACCCTGTAGGCTCTTTTTCTCACTACATATAAATATATTAAGTCAGTCTCAGCAAGAATGCAAAGTTGTCAGTAGTTGCATGTGGCAAAAGGACTAATGTAGAAGTAAAATACTTTTAACAAAGCAAATTCAAAAAATGCAACAAGCCATCAAAACCAGGTAATTCCTTGAGGCCAAAAAGCCTGGAAGCCCTTGGCTCAGAAATGCTCTACTTGGCAGATTTCAGCAAAATCTGGGCATTAAGGAAACTCCACACTTATCATAAAGGCCAGGAACCAGGATCTGCAAAACAGCATCTCCAGGCTTCCAGGCAGTCAAGAATGAATCTCAACAGGAAGAAAGGCAACTGGGAATGGGGCTTCAAAATGCTCAGCTCCTGAAGAGCCACACTAGTAGCCAAAAAAAAAAGCAAGAGAATGGGCTGGCAGAATTCCACAGTGAAACTGAGCTTTTCACAACTTGCTACTACTTTGACCGCTCTGGATTTGCATAAAGCAAATTATTCCATTAGCTACATAAATGAATTAATTAATTTAATAAGTTATAAAAACCCTTAGCCATAGTACTACACATAAAAAGTGTCTCATTAAATTCTAACTCAAATCGCAGGCATATGGGAGGATTGCAACAGTTCTCTCTCCTGCTTTAAATTTACTATATTCACTTTTCAGCAACTGCCTCTTCCTGTAGCCTCAAGGTCCACAGTTACAGTGAATATTTTTGGTAGAACTTTAATAATGTGTTATTCTTTTGGTACCATCTGACTGTTCTTTTGCATATTATGCTTTGTTTAATTAAAAAGAGAACAACATATGTTCTGCAATACAGAAAGCTGAATTACAGATGCATTAAGTCAGAGCTTTCTTTCATATTTTATATAAAAATATAACACCACAGATTTGTGTTTACTGACTTGATATGTATAGGAAACAAACTTCAGTACTATCAGACAGCTAATTAAAATGGGGGAAAGAAAACAGTTATGCTAAATTAAAGTTCTTAGAACTTAAGCTTATGGTTTAGAAGCCTATGGAAACAGCTTCTGCATTATATCCTCCAAAGCAGGATTTACATAGACAGTATGAGATAAAACTCTTGCAAGTGCCTTCTGTGCTCCTTTTCCAATCAATAGTAAGATAATTTAAGTGTTGCTTATGTGCAACAGCCTTATTATAAGTAATTTTCAAGCAATGTATTTCCTTTTTACTTTGAAAGACTTCTGAAGTGCTACACATGAAGTGCCCTTTGTATCACAGTTAGCTACTGAAAAATAGGTCCTTTAATTAGCTCTCTAACTATATGAAAAAAAAATCCCTTAGCTATATTCTGCTTACAGAAATAACCTCTTAAAACACTTCAGCCTCACACATTACAGCAGGAAAGCCTCAAAACAGTAACAAACCACAACTGAGGCAACAATTGCATAAGTTTTAACTCAGCATACACCTAACACAACTCTTTCCCAGGCAACTTCAACCCCAGTGCTTCTCCCCAGAGAAAGATCTTACCTGACACATGTGCACCTCAGTAGAAACCTCTCCAAGCTCATCACCTCTACTCCTTCCTCCAGAAAGGGAGCAGGCCTGCCACCATCCCTGTTATTATACAGGCTCAGGTGGGGACTAAGACAATAGCAGTAATTACCCCACACCCCTCATAGAGGAAATCAGGTGCCTTTGCAGAGCATTTAATTGCTGTTTGTAAGCACAGCTCTTAGCAACTTCTTTAAAAACTCACCTCCAGAGCAGATTGCTGCCTTAAGAGAAGTAAGCTGCTATCTCATGTTCTCCTGCACATGCCATAGGTGGTAGCTGTGGGCAGTCTATCTGCTATTTTATTTTCCTGTAATACAGCTGAGATTTGAAATGTTAAACTCTGTAATCAAAGTGAAAGCTACCTACATGTTTCTATGCAGAAATACTACTTTATTCTGTCTCCACTGTTATTAAATTCTAAGTGTTGTGAATTCCAGTTATCACTGTATTTATAAGAGCAATAGGCTTACCACTCTTTTTTTTTTTTTAAACATCAATGTAAAACACATACTAGTAACTGTTTTTAATGTCAGCTACTCCAGTAGCTACAGTCAGGAACAGTAAGTAACAGTCAAGTGGGAACCTGTGCTCTATTTTCTAGCTCCAAAACAAATGTCAGCCAGGCTGCATGGAAGGAATAAAAGTTAACCTGAATAGATACATTTTGCCTCTTCCTTAAAGAAAAGCAGGTACAAATTGGAGGGATTATAATGGCTCATAGCCTGCTGCTTATAAAATCTTGTCTAGGGAATTTCATTGTTTAGCAACACACAAGTACAAAGCATATACATTTTGAGCACAGATGGCTTCCTAACTGAGCACTCACTTGTTTTCATTACTATGCTCTAATATCACAAATCTTTCATATTTATTATGTGAAGCTGTGAATGTGCCAGACAAGTCACCTTACTCTGAATATACCAGGATTTACTTCCAAGTGCAACACAGATGGAATGAGCAAGACCATATACTTTATTTTTAAATGTTAACAATTTGAACAATTTGAGACAATATGTAAACATCTAAATAGCAACAAATGGTTATGTATCTTCTTAAGGGCTACAGTGGGCAGCATTTGGGAACACTGTCAGTACAAACATCCATGGGAAAAAACCCCTTTCTCTAGCTCTTCTTCCACAAAAACAAAATAGACAGCTTAACAGTTCCTTTGGAACACTGAGCAAGAAACCTAAACAGATTCCCATTCCAGAATAGTTTGGCAGTAATGACCTCTGTGTAAAAGCTGGGAAGCTCCTGAAAGCATCTCTCATGAAAACTTGCATTTCTCTTAAAGTAGCAGAAAAAAACTAAAGAATTGAATTGCAGAAAGTCTTAAGCAATCCTATTGATGTTTATGGAGGCTCTCCTGATTATATCTGAGACTTATCTCCTTAATAATAAAGATTTGTTTCTCATATTGCTCTAACTCTGTTCTGTTCTATTCTCTAGCACTGTGCAGACCTTTAGAATGAAGACTGGTGTGGAAATATATTGATGTTCCTGTGACTTCTATAGGAAAATGGGTTAATTACAACTCTAAGCCCTGAATTTGTCCAAATGTGTAGAGAAATGACTGCATTCACCTCCTGTGTCTCCTGACAGGTAGGTTTAAAGATATATTCAGAGACTGCAATGCACTTGCAGAAAAGGTAAACCAGTTAGAGCAGAAACTGCAGAATTCAGTACTACTGTTGAAAAGACAAAGGATAAAAGCCAAACTAAAACTTTTTGTAAGTACTGATTTTAAAGCTTATCTCAAAGCTGCTCCAGCTTTGTGCATGCCAGCAGGAAGTAACTGCTTCTGTACCTTCCTTCACCTTCAGGAGTATTTGGTGTCTTCCCCCTGCTGTTGAAGGTTTCAATGTGCAATTATTATGTAAGGAAATGGACAAACAGGCACTGCAGTGTGGAGCAATAGCTCTGTGAGTTACAGATTATCTGTGCAAGCACTTCCTCTGGCACAGGAAGGCAGAGATTAGTGTTTGCCACTCTGCTGATGTAGATCATGGTGATACTGCAACAACAAAATATAAAGGCACAGTACAGAATACAGAGTTATTGCACACCTGTTCTTTCAGGAGGAATGAAAAGGAAGAAAACTTCCTTGTTCTGTTCTACTTGCATTCAGGGACTATTCTAACTGGGTGGACATCTCACACATGTTCATCTGGTTCACAGGTACTGAAGCCCACTAGGCTTTTTACCCCATCATTTACCCATTTTACCCTAGTGCTGTTTATCCTTTCAATGATTCTATTCTCAGCATTCTCTCCTAGTTTAGCCTTACCAGAGCTTTCCCCATAACCTGCCTTGTGTGACTTGTCTTGCATTTTGACCTTGGTCTTCTATTCTTTAAACTAAGCTTTTGTATTCAATTTTGTTCTGTCTGTATAGTACCATTCTAATTTATAGATTAAAAATGCTTCAACCTGCTTGTTAATAAAGTTTTTCTGAAAACAGCAGCTCAGAGCAGTGACTGCTTGTTCACTGAAGACATTTTCAAGCCTTGGACATTAGTACACCACCAGAAAATGTTCATAATGCTGTGGGCAGGTGAAAGAAAAAGCACATCAACACCCCAAGACAAGGTGTAATGAAATGTTTAAAACATAACTGACCTTTCAAAAGGACATACACCCTGTTAAAATCTACTGACCTATGAAGATTACTACACCACTTCAGGTCCAACAGCAATTCTGACAGCAGTCTCTTCTTGCCTCTGGCTGAGAATGGCCTTTTGGGCCTGCTCTTCTGGACGTGCAAAGCAGGCATGTTTGCTGCCAGGGGCCTGGAGAGAGGCTTAGAGAGGGCACAAAAGGGCTTGAGCCACTTTTTTTTTAGATTCTGAATTATCTGTGCTGTTTTGTGACAAACACAGCTGTGGGGTGATCCTGCACCCTCCAGGTTCCTGAGGTGTGCATGCAGTGTATCAGCTGTGCACATGGCACACCTCCATGACCTCAGGAAACCAGAGGCTTGCACAGAGCTAAAAATACAGTAGCTTGTCAGACTAGATTGATGAAGCATTCTACAGCCAGAGACCTTGAATGCCAGCAACAGCCCATAATTCAGGCCACTTTTTTTTTAACTTGATTCATCCAACCCAACTTGAATTGTACTATTTGAATCTAGGTTTTTGCAATTGTTTTGGGTGCAGGTGATACTTATCTTAGGGGTATTTTTTTGCAATCTAGAAGGTCTACTTCCTCTGTTGAAATAAACAACATGGATTTAAGCATCTCTAATCTATGAGCTTCAAGATGCTTTTGATGAACTATAGGCTCACTTTAAAATTCTGGCTATGCAGAAGTGGTATTGTGTAATGGCCTCATGGGAAGAAAGAACCCAAAACTTACAACTCCAGCATCCTTGTAAACTTCTGCCTCTTGACAAGCTTGATCAATGATCTGGGTCAATGGAAGAGAACTTCTTGGTGTCCCTGCAAGCAAGAACAATGCTGTTTACCCCAAAGCATGCACAAATCAAACCCATGGACAGTAACAGCTTTGGCCAGGACATCCATGGGGATTGCACACAGGGACATTCAGGCCAAATTTGTTCAAAGGCTGCCCTATCTCCTTGTGACATCTCTTTCTTTAGCTGAACTTGGCAGAGCTGCTGTAACCATTCAGCTCCTAAATCTAATCCCCCAAATTTGAGGATTAGATTTATAATATATATAATCCCCTGTTGCACTAGGTCTGCTCTTAGCTTGCTATTCACATACTTGTAATTTATCCTGCATTAATAATGCTCCAGACAATACAAACTGTATTGGGGCAAGACTGACCTGTGTCAGCACAGAACACCTATGCTAAACAACAGTGAGTTTAAAACCAGTTAAAGCTGTCCTTAATCTATCTGCAAGGGTGATTGGATCTGATCTTCCTGGCTGAAATACACACATACAGATTTTATTGAGTTCAGTGAATTTGCCTGAAGACCAAAGTCTCATCTGACATTTGGCCCCCTAAGGTCAGGCAGTGGGAGTCTGAGGTGGGGACTGTGCCAGCTCTGTTAGCTGGCCTGATTTCCCAGCTCAGGGTGAGCTGGCCCTACCTCCTGGGGCTGCTTCTGGGGCACCCTGAGTTCCAGGCATCAGCCTGTCGAGGGCAAGGTGGGCTGTCCTGAGCAGCCCTGCCCACCCTGAGCCCCTGGAAAGGACCAGGAGGCCGGGCTGGAACAGATCCCGCCTGTTGTCTGAGCTTCCCGCTGCGTCTAAGGGCATGGGAGAGCTCCATCCCACCTCCATCCCACCGCACCGCCAATCCGTGCAACTCCCTGACCCTCGCTGCTTGAAACACAGAGCTCAGCGAGCCCAAATCCTCGTTTTCTCAGCCCGGCTCCCTGTGCGGAACTTTCCCGCCTTTTTTTCCTCTGAAACGGGGCGCGCCCAAACTGACGGCGCCTCATGAGGGGCCAGTGGTGGCGGTGACAGGAGAGCCTTCCAGGGGACCGCAGCCGGCTAAGGGCTGACACCGGCGACACACACCCGGTCCGGCTCCGGGTCCCGCCGGCCGTACTGCCCGCCCGCCGCTTACCTGGCAGCGCTCCCACGTGCACCATCCCGACGACCGCGGCCTTGAGCCGCCCGAACAGCCCGGGCCGCTGCATGGCCTGCGGGGAGGGAAGGAGGGCGTGAGCGGAGCCGGGCCGGGCAGGCCATGGTGGCGGCCCCGCCTCCCGCCGCGGACCAGAACAGGGATCGGGCCGGGAGCCAGGGCTGGGCCCAAGTCCGGGACAGAATCCTCAGCCCCACCGCTCGACCCGGTCCGGCTCAGCTCGGCTCACCCCGGTCCCACGTGCCACAGCAGCTCCCGCCGCTTCCGCGTCCAGGCCCCGCCCCGACTCCGCCCCTCCGGCCCCGCTCCGCGCGGGATCCGCAGGCCCCGCCCCTAGCCCCGCCCCCTGCCGCGCGCGGGACTCCGCGCGGCTCCCGCGCCCCGGCGGCCCCGCCCCGGCCCGCGCGCGGCCCCACGTGCGCGGTCGGGAGGCGGCCCCGCGCCGCCGCCGCGCGTTTAAATGTCCCGCCGGGCGCGGCCCGCGCCGCGCGCAGGGACGGGAGCTGCCGCGCCGTGAGGCAGCAGGCGCCCGGCGGAACCCGCCCGCCTCCCGCCCTGCCCCACCGGCCCGGCACCCGCCGACCACCCGCTCCCGGCCGGCGAGGGCCGGTGCGGCGGTGAGTGAGCGGCAGCGCGGGCGGGCAGGGGGCGGTGGGCGGCCGCGGGGCGGGGGGAGCCGGTGGGGCCGGTCGGGCCGCCCGTTGCGCGCCTCTGCCGGCCTTTGTGGGGGGGTCTGCGGCTGGGGCCCGCTCGGCCCCGTCCCGCGCTCGGCTCGGCTCGGCTCGGCCCGCCGGCCAAGGCGGGTGCCATGCGCCGGGAGAGGTGAGTGCGCCGGGCCCGCCCTGCCTGGGGCCCTGCAGGCCGGGCACCCCGGCAGCCTCCCCAGCCGGCGCTCGCTCAGCTTCCCCTCTCTCCGCAGCGACTGCGCGGACGACAAGGGTCCTGCCAAGGGGGACGCGGGTGCGGAGTACGCCATGCGAGCCCGCAAGAGGAAAGCTGATGTGGCCACGGTGAGTGCGGGCCCGGCCCGGTGCCCGCGGGCCAGCGCCCGCCCCGCCGCCGGGCTGGGCCCCCGCGGCCTCGCCGCCTTTTGTTGGGGTGCGGGCCCCACGCGGTGGGCCGGGGGCTGGGTGGGCCTGCGGGGCTGTGCTCCTGCGGGAACAGGCGTGTGTCACTGCGGCCAACAGCTGCTGGGCCCGCGGTTTGTGCTCCGGAAATCATATGTCTCTTTTTGTAGTTCTTACAGGATCCTGATGAAGAAATTGCCAAAATGGAGATGACTAGAAAAAAGCCGTGCGAAAAACAGGTAATTGAATTGGTGTTATATGTAAATATTGTAATCTCATGTAACCTTGCACTTACTTTGCAGTACATCATTATTTTTGGCAGCATGGTGAAACAGGTATGCTGCTGCCACATGCTGTATAGCAGTGGGCAAGGGGGACTGTTGGCCCTGGTTGATGATGGAGTGTGCAGAACAATTCCGTTCATATGTGTAGTTTTGAAGCCTTTGTTAGATACAAGGCCTGTGTTGGTCTGAAGCATTATGTTAATGCTGAAGTGAGTTCAGCTGTCCTTGAGTTGAAGGGTGCACCTGTCAAGCCTTTAGACCTACTCTGCATTTGCTTCTCTAGAGAGGGGCAAAAGTACAGTCATGTGCTTATGCTTGTACATGTGCTCCTTGAGCACGCAGACAGGATCATCTCTTGAGGTGGTGCTCCTTGAAGTCATGTCTCTACTTCTCTGTCATCTGGGAAAGAGGAAAGCATCCCCTTTTCTCCTAGATCAGCTCTATTCCCATTGACAATTATCAGACAGACTAAGTAAGGGGTTCCTGTTAGAACTTTGAAGTGTATACTTGATTCTCATGGTGTGGTAAAACAGGCTTTGTTTCTCTGTAGAACAAAGGAATATCTCTGTAAAGTCACTCTACCTGTGAAAATCAGTCCTGCAGTGGAGGTTGATAGTGACCATTGCTGACTTTCTCAGCAAGGCATGTAGAATGAACCAGTTTAAAAAGTTGAATGCTATGTGGTGTGTGATGTTCAAAGTGTGATGCTTTTGTACCTTGAGTAGCCTGTGTTCTGCAATAGGTGCATTCCCCTTTTTTCCCTGGCACGTGCACTCCTGCTCAGTCCCTGTCACTGAGCCTTCAGCCTGTCACTGCACACCCAGGGTGATGCTGAAGGTGCAGAAGTCAGGGGCAGGGTGTGCAGCCTGTCCTCGTTTGGGAGGCCAGGCTGTGCATAATGTGGCACATCTAACCCAAAGTGGCAGCTGGAAGTTCTAAGACTGAAGTGCTACCATAACAGATGGGCATCATTGTTTGGAATGGCCTCTGCTTGTTGCAACTGCGTACACTAGTTATCAGTCAACATATTAAGCAGGGCTCAAATGGTGAGCATTTAATGAGGGGATCTCTCCTTCCCTTCTGTCTTTCTTTTGCACAGTATATTAAACTAATTTCTCACTTCTGACAAGGAAGAGCTGTCTGTCCTTCACTGCAGCTTTCTCCTTCACCAGAAGATTCATTCTGTCTAAACTGAGCGCGGCCTTCTCATGCATGTTTGTTGCATAATAACAAAGAATTTGTTTAAAAAAATCTCAATGGGGACCCAATTTTACTGTCTTCCAGAAAGACAGTGGAAGGAAACATGAGGTACCTTTTGCATATGTTGACCTAAACTTTCAAAGCAGATAAAGACTTCCAATTTCGTCTTCTTGTTTGTGCTCTTGGCCTGGTAGCCTTTCAGTGTTACTTCAGGAAGGATAGGTAAACTAAAACTTAGATAATTTAGGCAATAGGCATCAATAATCTTTCTTGGGAATTTTTTGAGGTCATTATAGGATGCTGGTGGAATTTGACCCCTTCATTCTATAAACAATAAATAACATCATGCCTATATATCTTTCCCTGCATAGATCAGGTATTTTTGTTGTGACAAAGTAGCCAGATTGTTCCAGATCTGGTTAAAAAAGCTAACATTTGGCTGCACAGCAGCAGCTCTTCAGTCTATGGTGTGACACAAGCTATTCTCTGATATAAATTGCCATGGACCACTAATGAGAATATGTTTACGGTTCCAGCAGCAGTGTAGCAGGCTGGAATGATAGCCAGGGCGACAGTTATTCTGTGGAGACACGGCAGTTCTAAAATGCAGGCAGCTATAAATCCACTGCAGCCTATACCACATGACTTCTACATTAAATAAATTGTTTACTGACACTAGTTTATCCACAAGGCAAAATATCAGAGTCACATCCCACTTTATGACATCTTCATAGTCAATTCATTAGTTTTCTTCTGTGGAACATAAGGCCTCAGTTCTTAATTAGGATGCCGTTACCCTTTATGTGATGAAAGGGTGGCTATATCATCAGGTCTGTGACAGCAGAATATTGCATAAATTCTGTGTTTGATTTTGGAGAACTGGCACTGCTGTAATTCTGCTAGCAATTCTCATACTAATTCTGGCTGCTGTGTGGGGATGAATACACTTCTGAGGCTCCATGTAAAACAAAATTCATCTAACTAGATTAGAATAATCTGTCTAATTGTAATGCAAGTTGCATGGTCACCTCCATATAAAGTGAAGAATGGAATCTGTAAGTTAGTTTCTTTAGATGAAACTGGCTAATGTTTTCATGTGTAAAGGTGGAGCAAACTCTCAGGAAGGGGTTTCGATCACTTTCTTACTAGATGTTTTTCAGAATCTGGTTTTAGCATTGTCAAAGAGTTCCATCTAACTGTTTTGAAAATAGCCTCAAAAAAGATTATTTTACTAATCTAGATTAACTTTTGAAGATTCGATTAAAAAAAAACACAAACAAAGCAAAGCCTACAAAAAGGAGTCTAAACTATACACAGGTTGAGAACTCACTTGGCTCTAACCTGGATTAGGACATTTAGACTCTTATTTCAAAGGAGTAGAAGCTCCTATGCTATCCCAAGAGGATTGGACCAACTTAATAGTGTAAGTTGCTATTTTCTGTCCTGTTTGTGAAATCTGGAATTCCCTTCTGATGGCAAGGAAAAATTCAGTACTTCAAAGTAATGCATCCTATGAGCGGAAAGTGGCTAGAATTATAGGTCTTGATATTTCTGATGGGCAAACTAAGGCTGTGGACTTGGAAGTGATACCATTGTCTGTGGTATAAGGTGCTGCTTTAAAGGTGACAAACAGGCCTGTTCCCCTGCCATTGATTTCCATGCTGAAAAACCTCTAGTGCTGCTGTTTGAATGCAGTTCTGTGTCATTCTCTTCCTCTTGCTGCACTCCTTGCTTGCCAGTGGAAGCTCATTCTGGTGGCCCCTAGCTCACATTGAGGTGCACAGTCTGTATTTTTAGGTGCTGTGCACTGAAGGCCCTGCCTGGCCTGTAACCAATAACCCCCAGTGCTCGGTTTTGTGTCTGATCTATATCCTGAAAGTTGTTCAAAAAGATTATTTTCTATGAATATTTGGTGTATCAGTGAATGGTGACATGCTGCAGGAAACTGAGGCCTGCTAATGTTTGAGCTTTATAAAGTCCCCCACCTCTGAACTCCTGGGTTTTCTCTGTTTGGAGCTGTATGGGCTTGGGTGCCTTATCATCCACCTTCTTCCCTCTTGGTACCTCTCCTCCTAATGAGCCTTCTCAGGTGCTTTTTTTCCTCCAGTCTGTCTTTTGTTCTCAGGTCTGAGATAGAGATCAGCATCTGATTAGTTGCTCCTGTACCTAGAACATTACTGTGGGAGTCACCAAGCTTTCTTGCTGGGCTCCACACAGATTTGAAGAGGCTGTTCTCCCCACTGATGTTTTTGCTTGTGTGCTGCTTCGGCTCCTGTTTGTCTCAGAACTCAGGACTGTAGTGTTTTCTCTGTTAGGCTGCACAGATTCTGGGTAGCATCTGTTGCTTTCTGACAGGGCTTCACTTTTGGATTGGCTTTGTGCAAGCCCAAAGGAAACTCTTCATGGTTTCCTCATGCCCTCCCCACCTTAAACTGTTCTTTTTTTCAGTAGTGGCTCCTATTTCCTTTCAGTTGCAGTGTGAGGTAATGCAGTTTCTTGATAG